GACTACTGTAGCTGTTGAACACAGTGGAGCATTTAGCAACTAGAAAGCCAGGAATTGGTGGAAACCAAAACAGCGCTGATATTAAAGTAAATATTGGAATTACATGTATCTGATGTCCAGAGACATGGCGTTTGAATGAATGTGAATGTTGCTTTGTGTCTGCTGGATGTGTATAAAGCAAATTGTTTGGATGGGTCAAAGAAGTAAGGAGGTCTACACAGACGGACAGCTAGGAATTGGCTATTACAGCCTTGTAGAGGTTTCTATTACATGTTCAAGGGCACATCAAAGTCAGTTTGGATGTTGAGGCTGGATAAAGTGCTTCTGATTCACTTCAACAACTGTTATCCACCAAAAGCATGATTCCCTGAACTACCCTGCCCCTGTCACTTAGGTATTTATTGCTTCTTTTCATCACAATTTTCAATTAACTGCCTCTGTTAGATGGATCCTTTTCTTGTTCTTGCATCTCAACTTCTGAATAAAAGAATAGAAATAATTCATTAAACTTTTCACATACTTTAATTGGATTCTCCAATTTGTATTCTGTAATTAATGAAAAGAGGACATTAAAATGGTGCTTATTTAATTTTTTCACGACTGAAAATTAAAGCACTGAGGCCATAATAAAGTTATATGGGTTTGCTCTCCTGATTTTTTAATTTAAGTCTTTAAATGAGGGCTTCTAGCATGATGGGATATGACTCAGTACGACACAGTAAAAGGGTTTGGGGGATAGGTACAAAAAAAGAGTGTTGGCTTAGCCACGTAAACACTGCATGCATGGCTGATTTTCCCAAACATGTCAAGATGAATTTGAATTAAAATCAGCTTCAATGTGCTTTGTGAAGTGCCTCCCCAGCACCCTCACCTTTCCTCCCCTCAGCATCCCTCTCTCACATTCCTGAAGATGAGAGATCACAAGAGTGGGTGAAATAGAATGTGACATTCATGTAAATATTTGTTCTCCACGCTCGTGTCAGGCCTTGAATAGTCTTTGCGTACATCCCTGGCCATGCATATTTGCATATGTGAATGCTAATACATACTCCAGCCAAGAAACATTCTTTAATTAGGCAGTTTCAGTCTTTTGGCTATGTGGAGAGAGACCATATTTTGTCTCATTTAAATCACTCTATAGTTTTCC